ATAGTATTACTCTCTCTCTCTCTCTCTCTCTCTCTCTCTCTCTCTCTCTCTTTCTCTAGTTTCTTTACATAATAGATTGCAGATTTTCCTATTAGAAATGGGAAATCTGTTGATCGTGAATTCGTAGTTATTTTACTTAGAATTAATTGAACAATCAAACGGAGCTCCAAGTATATTCGCAAGCAACCGGAAAATAAACAATTATCTTCGATGATAATACGGTCGGCCTTGTCTCTAATCATAAACGCGCACAAATATTCGTATACATGGATGTCCGATCTTCACTTTGATAGTAGTTCGTTATTTCCGTCTGCGTCATCGTAATGACGGGTGATGAACATAAACGAACGACTTGAGTTTATCTTCAGGTCTATAATAACCTTCTAATTTTTAATTCAAGTTGCGACGTTATGTCAACTGGTCCATGGAGGGATTTCTCATGCATTTCAACACTCGGGGAATCTCCGTGACGTGGCCAAGGTAAGCTTGTGTTACAAAGTGGACGACATTTAAAATCATTTGTTTGACCTAATGACGTTCTTAGAAAAACATTTTGTATGTATATTGATGTATTAATGAATACAAATTACATGCATCATGTATAAAAAATTTATCAAAACTTTGTAACAAATAATAAAACTTTCTACAAAATTAACTTCCACGATATCTTTCTAAATTCAATTATTAAATTCAATTCAATGAATTCTAAGAAAAAATAAATGTATCTGTTAATTCAATCCATCAAATTGAATTTTTATTTTCTTACAGAACTTAAGTCTATTATTTAAAAAATATAATTTTTTTTTAATAATGAACATTATTCTTGATATGAAATTATATAGTGCAATGATAATTTACAATAAAAGTTTGTAACAGAAAAGGTCTTAATGGACGATTTGATCAGTAACCTTATGATAAGAAAGATATAGATAAAAAAGGCAATGATTTCATTGACGTTGCGAAATGAATGGATCAAGTTGGATTGAGAATCGAAAAGGAATGCCAATATTACGATATAAAGTCACATGTGTTGAATGCAGATACAAAACCCACGAGAAACCTTCGAGTATATTTAATGACTCACCTGTCGCCTGTCGATGGAGCTCAACCAAGCGACAAAATTTGGTTAGGAAAACCCAATCGTTTGGCTTACGTACTTTAACTGCACGTATCACGGGTATTTACTATACCTGTCCATACGCGATGAACGTAATGATGTAACACATGTATTTCCGTGGGTAGCGGATTATTAATCATCCATTGTTTAGAACTGAATTATTACTAATGTCATTGGTATTTACAACAGTATTGCACGTCTGACGTATATATCAATTAAGACATTAATTAATTTATAAAATTATTAAAATTAATCGTAAATTATTGCATATACGTAAATTCTACTCAAATGCAGATCAAATATTATATAATATTAATACATAATAATATTAATATATATTTTGGATATGATATTAGATACAATAGCGATTGTATCTAATAGATACAACGATACAATTGAATTTCAATTCTTTAAAATATTAATGTCATTTTGTACAATATTCAACGGCAAAAAATGCATATTTGACGCATTTTTCTACCAATTATCAGTAATCATAATAACGTTTTGCTACGACTCATTTAAATTGCAACAATTATTTGCGCTTACTTTGCGTCGATGAGCGCGCGAATAACGTTTACTAATACATAAAATCACAGATATGCGCTATGCCAAGATCAAAATTAGTCTCTATTTTTTTAACATTGTTTTTATATATAAATATATATACTTCTTCTCGGTCTCTATTTTATATTCTTCTTAATGGTATTACATCACTTAAGTATCCATTTAATGTTTCATTTTATTTGACGATTCATCCATTATTTTTCCGTTATTATCACTACAATATGTGCACCCTAAGTATTTTACGATTGTACTTATCATTAATAAAAATATCAAAGATTAGAGATTAATAACTTAAATATAAATAATAAGTAATTTATATTTTTTTATAAAATGACATAGACTATTTCTTACAGAACATTTTATTTTATAGACAGAACAAGTACAAAGGTGGACGCAATATTTGGTCTAAATTAAAAAAAAATTACATAAACTATTTTTTAATAATATATAAAATCTTTTTGGAAGCAAAAGTTTGAAATTATCAAACTTCTTAAGAACCGTTTAGAGACTACAGAGTGTAACGTATATGTATATATAATATGATAATATGACGGTAACATAAAAAGAACGCAAAGATCTTTTATCATAAAACTTATCGCATGTCTATTAATACTGTACTAATTCTAAAACTAATTCTCACAAATATATTATGTAAAAAAATTATACATCTTTTAAAATGAATTGAAAAATCTTTATGTTACAAAAATTTTATTTCTTTATATTAACGAAAAACCACATATATCCACCTCATATAAGATTATATTCTCACGTACGATAATAATATTATTGTCATCTTTTGTCCATTCGAAAATATAATATTAGTTCTTCTTCTACGCAAAGCGATCCTAACTATTATTCGAAAATAGTCGTCTAAATTGAATATACAGATGACCGCTACATTAGCGTAATCGTAATCGTTAGTTAAGTGTTTGCGAAAAATTGACTTTTCCAGCCTTTTTGCATCGTCGCACATTTATACAGCTCGATAACAACAATATGGTGATAACGAATATTCACTAAGAAATAATTATATAATTGCACTCGGAATTGGCGTTGTTTGTTTAACTATTTATCTAACAACGTATATATTATTTTATATATGGTAATAGATAATATATATAGAAAGAGATACATTATAGTAGTATTCCGTTTCTCATGTCAATGTCCGATTCTTTCGTTGCTAATAATGCAAAAGTTAAAAAGTATGTTGACATTATTTGCTCTCATTCAGACAGAAAGAAATAATTACAAAAAATAAATACGACTGACTTTTAATAAATTTTTAACAAGTATAAAGTCTTCTCAAGTTAAAAATGTAGTGTAAAAGAAATAAATTGCTTATATAATATGCATTATAATAAATTAAATATTTTAAAAAATAATAATAATAATAATATCAACAATAATATTTCTCATTGGACATTTGCGAGATAGTAGATATTTCTCTCTAAAACGGATATACATTTGTAATCTCTAAAGAATCTCTGAAAACACATTCACAAAGATATGTTTAACACACAATTCACGCGCGATTTGTTACGGAGAATTTCCACGAGATAAAATCTGTATTTTCCGATTGGCTCGTTATCCTAGTATTTATGCGCCATTGTAGAAAAATAATAAATTTGCACAATTAAATAGAGAAATAATAAGCGCCATTTTGTTCAGACAATGATTTGTCAATATCTTGATAAAAAATTATTTTTCATATTATTAAAATTAGGTATATTTAAATGTAAGAGAAAGAAACAGAAATCAGAAAATGGAAAATGGAAATATTAAATAGAATATATTTTTTAAACTCAATTTACATGTATTAATCTTAATATTCTTATTTAGAGTTTGTAATTTACGAAATTCTTATTTTAAAACATTTTTTTACTTTGATATATTTTGCTATCATGCAAAATATATTATTAGCGAACCACTCGACTCAAAGATTTATTCCCAAAGTAGCTACCCTTTTTTCGTTTTTAAGGCAGATTTTATGTTAAGATCTTGTGATAAGAAAATTTACTCATGTTCTGTTATATGATCAATAATAAAGATAATTGCATAATCAGAAAATTTTTAAAAACAGTTATAAAATTATTTATTTAAAACAGTTTAAAATTATTTATTTAAAATTACGATGTACAAAATGTACTATCTTGTTGTCTATTAAATGAATATATCTGTATAAAGAATATTTTATTAAAAATCTAAATACCAAACAGAGTTCAAACTTAAAAATCAAACAACATTGGGTTTGTACTTTTTTGGACTAATATATAAACTGAAAATTTCTATTATTCATTTATCTATCATATTTCATTATTCATTACTTCAGAAATGTATATGAAAAAAATATCAAAGTACTTTAAAAAGCGAAGGTATAATCGATAGTAAAGAATGCGAGGTAGAACTAAAATATAAATTAATGAAACGATAAACGAGCCCCTTACTATCGCGGTCTTTTAATGCTAACTAAATCGCGAAGAAAAAACGCGTACGTAATATTAATCACAGTTATTATTAATCTGAGTGTGCTGCTCATCGTCGTCAAGATAACTCTATCGCACGTAAATGGAACAAGGTCACGGATTCTAAAAGTTATAAATTATTGTTTCTCATTATTGTCCGTTTAAAGCTAATATAAATTCTTTCATATTAAAATTGTCGAATAAAAAATGTGATCAGCAATTACAAATAATTATTATATACAAACAATTATGGAATAATTCTGTATATGTGTTATGTATACTATTTTCAAATGATATAATATTTAAGAATTATTCTTGTTATATAAAATGCATTTTTTGTGACCCTATTCTATCACGATCGATATGTCGTCTCGCTTTCGCAGTTCCCACTAAGAGCCCTTGTTCCCAACCTCACCCTCGTCACTCCAATTTTTCGTAAATTCATCATCGTTTGTTGTTCACGGTAGTGGCGATTGCACCGCCGTTTCCGGTGGTTTGCGACATGAATTGTTATCGATACACTCGTTCTGTTTGTTCTCCAGCTCGGTCTTACGAGCGAGAGCGTAGTTGTTCAAATATTCCACTACCTGCATGTGACCAAAAGTCTCGGCTTCGTCGACTGGCCTTTTGCCCCATCTAAAAAAAAAAAACGTTGTTACGTTGTTAAATTTAAATATTATCTGGATGAAAAAGATGAGAGCTCATCAAAGCAAATACATCATCTCACATGCATCTCTTTCGCTTTATTTGATCTGCTACGTAATGGTAATGGTTAATTAAAAAATTGAAATGTAGAAATAGAATAGAAATAAAGAAATAGAAGAGCAATTTATTAAAAATGTGATTAAGGTGTTGTTAAAATAATCATTGTAACTTGATTCCGATACTCGTACCTATCCTTGGGATCGTGTGGGACCCCGCAATGTTCGATCAGAAACTCGACGCAATCTAGATGACCTTCGCTGGCGGCCAAGTGTAATGCGGTTCTGCCGTCGTAATCCGACAGTGTCATGTCCATTCCGCTCAATCGGTGTCTAAAATTATGAATATTAAACAATAATCGAAACTAATGTAATCTTCTAATACTCTATCTCTATTAAAATTTCACGCTAATAAACTTCGCAAATATAGAAAGACTATCAGACTATCATAAAAATGTCATGTGATAAAAAATAACGCGCAGCTGTACAGATCCGTGCGTTCATTTTTATTAAACAGGTTTTTAAAAGCCCTCACTCTCACCTTCTCATCGCTGTGACGTCACCACTAGCAGCGCTGAACAGAAGATTAACGATCGAGAGGCCTTTCGTCTCGTATTTGTGCCGTCTAGGATCCTTCTTATTCGTTGCGTGCTTTAAATTATCATACCTGCGGTATCATAATGTAAAACGTATTAAACTAATAACAGATAATAAGATGAAAGAAAAAACTGCGAAGAAAATGCATTAAATTCAGATTTATAATCACATTCTTCTTTTTCGTTCTTAAGTAAACAATTTGATTTTAGATTAACCGTATTGTTGTACCTGTGAAAGTTAAATTCATTCACAAGCTCCTCACAGAATTGCACACCGCGACAGGAATTACCAAGCGGATCCAAGGGTGGAGACCACGTGCAAATTCCCATGACATTTGGAATTACCACGAGGAGGCTTCCCGATACACCGGATTTCGCTGGTATACCAACCTAAAATAAAGTGTTGCGTTCTTCAACATGGCATTGATTCTTTTTTTTTTATCAAAGCTTAATATCAATATAAAAATATTATTGAAATTATATGTGTGTAGCGTACAAAAGTTATTCGTACTAAATTATAAATTAGTTTCATCAATATATTTACTCTTACTCTAACATATTCATCAAATTATTTATTATTTTATTATTATTGCACAATGTATACTTATAATTTTTCACTCACTTTAAACGCGAATTGTCCGCTATAGTCGTACATGCCGCAGCTGTGCATAAGACTTAAAACATCACGGACGCTGTCCGGTTTTAGAACCTTCTCCTCGGTAATCGGACAAATACCGCCGTTTGCTAACGTAGCTGCCATTACTGCCATCGTCTCACAATTTGCTTCCATGGCACAGCACTAGCCAATAAAAATAAAATTCATTATCAGAGTGTATATGTATAAGTCGTTACCGAAATAGAAATAGAAGTGGTTTATTCTGGTCCCTCAATCTCACCTCTAGACTCGCGAAATCGAGGTACCGCGAATTACATTGCACACTAAATATTGGAAAATTGTTTACAAATTTAAAGAAAGTTCATGTTTATTCTCACAAAAAATATCGAAGAAATGTTTTATCGTATAGACATAAAATATAAAAAAAAGTTTAATTTCTTTGCTAATAATTGGAAAAAGGTAACGAGACTTTATTTAGATTGTTTTAATGATTGTATAAGAAAGAAATATTTACCTGAAAATAAAAATCCATAACTTCTTGTAGATTTGTCTTCTCCGGATAACATCTGTGCTCTCTCATGTAAAATCCTAAAGCGTAATTTCGATCGGCAGCTTCTCGCTCCGACAGAAAGACAGCGTTGTTAAATCCCAAATTTTCACCACCGGCCAATCTTTTAAAATAATTCATCGCAAAATCAAATTTTTCTGCCAGACCCATTTCTGGCTTGACTAATGTTTTCAGAAGCGAACAAACTAATATTGCACCGGCGTTGATCATTGGATTGTGCGGCTTTTCTACAAAGATATTCGTTTGCGTCAGAAATTAATCTTGCAAGTAAATAATTAAAATATAAAATGTATAAAAAAATATATAAAATAAAAATTTGAATATTATCTTTGTATTTATATATTTTTCTGCCAATTTTGATTGAGTTTATTGCATTTATTTATATTTACTATTACTTGCATTATATTTGATTCAAGAAATACTGACTGTTATAATCAAGTACGAGTTCGTTGAAATTTCTACCGGACGGTTCTTGACCAACGTATTGATGTACCATTTCCTGACCCAGCCTGTCCAAGGCTATCGCGTAGGTCAAAGGTTTGCTGCAACTTTGAAGGGTGAACGGTATCGAGGTATCCCCAATGCTAAACCGCTGGCCGTCGATAGTGCACACAGATACGCCCCAATATTCCGGATTCATCCTGGCTAACTGCGGTATATAGGAGGCGACCTTGCCTTCAGTGTTCGTTTTACATTTCCAATAAAAATCCTCAATGTGTTTCGTGAAACCTGACCAGTCGGGAATTATGAACTGGTGCCTGAACGCTCGTGAGATCAGAACGATATTGGGATTTATGATCCTGAAAGAAGAAAAAGCACAACGCATTCGCGCACAAAGAGCGTTTCTTGTCGTAGATATTTTCCCTTAATATCTACTTTAAATATTATATTTTTAATTTAGGAAAATATATTTTAATGTTAAATTAAAATTTGTAAATATTTATTCATTATGCATAAAGAAGTACACCAGAGCTTACGTTGTATAAAGCATATCTAAAATTATAATATTATATTTTATTTACTTCATAAGCATATAAATTATATTTTGAGATTTTATTATATTTATTTTTTAGATTTACCTTCTAAATTGTTCTCTGTCTAGCTTTTGCGTTTCGTGCGATATAGCTTGGGCACCAGAGTTTGCATGCTCTTTCTTTAGATTGTCCGTAAGTTCTTGAAGTCGAGGATCATTCTTTCTTAAGCCGGTTATTCTTAAAGCCTTAAATAAATAAATATAGATATTAATTATCTATTGTAATCATTTTGGAGATAATATAATATATCTCTGTGAAAATATCTTGTTCTGTCATACATACAGCTAGAAATTCTGCCACTGATACAAGACCGGTCTCTTCCTTTTTAAACATGTCAAATAAAACATCTTCGGCATTTGTCGCTTGATCTTGATCTCGAGTGCTATAAAATATAAAAAAATAGAATTATTAAATAATTTATAAATAATAAGTCAACACCATATGTGCAAACAATATAATCCACAACATAATCAACAGATATTTTTACAATAAATTTTTGTATATTATTATTATTATTATAAATAACAAAATAACATATACAGAACAAACTATTATATTATTATTATTTATTCTGACTAAATCACCCTACATCTATTATTTAATGACTATCAAATAAACACATTTACCATTTATAAATCATCGTTTGTTATATAAAACCATGCAAAATGATAAAATTGATTACTTTAATGAGCGATGAGAATAAAAAAGTTAAACATAAAATATCGGTTTTTAATGAAATAACCATCGATGATGTGATGTAGAATAGTAAATACTGTGCTGTTATGCTTAATGAGCTATTCATATCACGTCATGCATTAATGTAGCGCATAGTACTCACTACATATAGTGGCTGTCATGAATGAAGCTGTATTCGCTGTAACGAAAAGCAAGACAAACGATTTTGCATTAGTGATGATAATAATAATTGTTAATGCGATTGTTACCTAAGAAAGCGCGCCAACATCCGTGTGGACTGATCATTTTTCTTCTCTAACCAGATCGAACACGCGATTTTCGATTTAATCGCGTAATCTTCGGTAAGTTTAGCCAACTGGAGATTATTAGAGTTTGCTTTGGAATCGATCGACTCGATATAAGGCATAGTGATTGTCGTGCTTCGCCTTTTATTATTATAAATTAATAAACATAATACTTTTGCCCTCGCAAATATTAATTTACATTTATTGCTTTATTTGTTATTTTTTTATTAGTTAAACTTAGCCAAAAATTTGTTAAATTAATTAAAAATTGGCAAATATTTAGTTTTTAGTATTTAGTTTTGCAACGTAGTGTGCAATCACAGGACATAACTAGGACACTTTCGTTCACATAACACAATACAAAGAGTGTACTAAAATGATTGTAAAATGTAATTAATTTCTTGTCTAAAAAACGTTTTGCTGGCTGATTGTAAAGTCATTCTGTCGCAGACTCTACCATGCTTTTTATATCCCGAAAAGAAAAAAAACATGTTCTTGACCTTCATTTACCCCCACAATGATGAAAAAATACATCTTAAAATAGTATAGCCATTTACGTCAGATTGGAACATATGACATCTTGAGAGCGAGAAGCTGCATACAATTTGCATTCGATGACAAACAATTACAACAAACAAAAACCAATAACAAATTGCTTAGTATATTAGAGTTGATTAGAGCTAGAGCAGGAAGCTCTGTGTGGAAAAGAAAGAGAGGCCAAAGACTAGCTGGTTGATGAAAAGAGAGTTTATGTTTGAAAATAGACACACAGGCTAGATTAGTTACATGATAAAAAAAAAAGGATCATCATAAATATGTATAAAACTTACTAATGAAAGTTAAGTTAATAAAGTTAAATAATATAAAGTTAAATCATACATATTAAGAAGAATTAAATTTAAAAAATATTAAAAATATTTATCTCAAAAGATTAAGAACTTTTTTTTATAAGAAATTTAAAATTCTTTTAAACTTATTTTTATTTTATTTTTTCTAAATAATCTGTAATTTAATTTTTAATAAAAATTAATATTTAATGATATATTTAATAGATATGTTGTAATAAAAGTTTTAATATCAATCAATATTGATTCTAATAAGAATTGAATAAAGATACTCTTAAGAATAAGATACTCTTACCGAAATGCTCTTAAGGGTAGTTCTTTGAAATCTCCAATTGTGTCGCTGTAATGACCACTAAATTCAAAATCGTCCATTGCTCTGATTTTATCCGGACGTAAAAAAGACGGACCAATATTGTTACGAGAAGTTTAAGGATATTTTGCGATTTACAACATACTTTGAGATCTCGAGAAATCGTTCTTTGCTTCAGTATAGCAACAGATACAGTCACGATCTAAAAGATCGTACGTTGCTGTGCGCGCTTAAATGACCAATAACAATACTTGACCCAAACAATTGCGATGAGTCAATAGATCGCGATGGTTTAGTATGATATCAGTTGCATCGGTAAATCTATTGCGACAATCATTATGCCTTCTATAGAAAATAAATTCTATATGTATATCGTTCGCAAGTTACAATAATTACACATTTGTTTGCATTTGAATAACGTGTTTCGGTGTTACATTTACGCTTTTTTACGGCGGCCTATGTTTAATTGAACATATATCGAAAGAAATTTAGATGTATTACGTATTCATATAAAAATATTAATATTAGAAAAATAGCTTGTAAAAATATTCAGTGCTGAAACTTGTTTTATCACTAATTTTTGCTTATTTCAGAATTAAACTATGTAAAAGTGTTTCATACCGTGTCTGAGAATATTCTAATTTTGCTGCAGTTCCAAAAGCGGCATCCAGATATTTTACTTTTCCTAGTTTCGTGGACATAGCAGCTCGTTTCTGTAAAATAAACGTTTTGTTCCATAACAATAATTGTTGCTCTCAGTAGCAATAATTATTGCTGAGAGACTACAATAGTTTTTCTTATTGTTTAAAAAATTACTTTTATAAGGTCGCTACGTTAAGCATTTGCATAATGATTAACAATAATTGTTGCTCTGAGTAGCAATAATTGTTGCTGAGAGACTGCTAATTTTCTTGTTTAAAAAAATATTTTTTTATGGAGTTGTTACGTTAAGCATTTGAGATGGTCGTGTAGGAAGATTGGATTGGTTGCTAGGCAGCTCTGTATTGATCCTTCGATGTATCAACATCATAGTACTCTAAGCGGAAGCCCATCACGTGTATTCTAATTCGGATCAGTAGGATTGCGAGTACACACATAAGCGTAATGAAAATTGAAAGCCTGAATAAATTAGAAGGCAAGATTCATGAAAGATTACTCTTGTCGCACACTCGTCTCGTTATGTAATCGACACCTAACCACAAATCACTTTTTATATCTTGCATAGTAATAAGGATATTTTGTTTACAATAATATACGGACATTTCTTAACAATTTCATTAAATAAATAAACTTCTTATGATTGTTAAAATATTTTTATTAAGTTTATTTGTATGATATTTAAATAAAATTTTATTAATGTAAAATGCGATATATATAATATGCTTATAGTTAAATACATAATTAACATGAATAATTGAATAACCGTAAGATATACTAATTATATACGATAATTATTATTATTAATTTATCATGCGGGAGTTACTAACTGCAGAAGTCTAATTCGAACATCTCGTTGGCATAACAGAAGCATGTGAGCTACGTGTCAAAGTATTTTTATCATCGATATAGGCCATTGCCACCGCCCACGTGGTTGTAATTGATGAGAATCGATTTTCTTCACTAACCTCTTAAGAATGAATACCTGAGTTATAATATAATGATTAAACTTGATTTGATTTAATAAATACATTAAATGTTCAAATTCCCATTGTTGCGTAATACATCTGTAAACGCCATGTTTTCCTTACTAGACATTTATGTGAATGTTATAATCCCTATAAATTTCTATTGTGTCATGATTTGTTTTTAAATCTTTATTTTTATTTTTTACGAGATATTCTTACCCTGCTAGTGAAATGCAGTTTTCTGAATCCATTTGTTCCGAGTCTCATGAACTTCAGCATCTTTGCGCATCCTTGCATCATCACTTTTCTTGAGATTAAAATTCTTCTTACTGATAATTTCGTATAAATTTATTTAACAATTTAAAACAATCATAAATAATCTTTAATAATTTAATTAAGCCATGAACAAAAATATATTAAAATTTTTATAAGTAAGATATTTTGATTTGCAGTTTGGATTTTCTATATGTCAAAGAATAGTCAAATAAAATCAAATAAAATTTTTTTTGATGGTTAAAATTTTCTGATCAATGTCACAAACGAGTATTGATGTCCGTCGTTTCGCACTTTAAAATGCAAAAATATTCATTCGTCCTACACTGTTTGATTCATATATCTCAAAATATAATTTTTCCAACGTAGAGATCAAATATCTCTATAAATTCCGAACTGTGATTATCGCAATATCATGTGAATTATTTACTCGTCACAATTTTACCTGCGACAACGACGTCGCCGACGGAAGACGACCCTCGGCGTCCCGACGGCTAGCGTCTACTGCACCGAGGGTCGTGGAGAAGGTAAGACCGGCCGGTGAGACATGCGCGATTAGGGTTGGTACAGAATTTCACTATAGCTGACCCAGAATATGTCACGAACTCGTTGATTGGCGTATAACTAGCATCAATTATCCCACAGGAAGCAAAACCACAAAATGTATCGATCTCGGGAAGTCTGTCCGAGTGTGCGAAATAATTTTGGCACGTCACATTAGACATGTTATAATTTATATATATATAAATCATAACTGAAAATTGTATATTTATTTTAAGTTATTATATTATTTATTTTATTATTTTAATATATACATATGTATAAAATAATTTAAAACAGATAAATATACATTTTTTCCTTATAATGTATTTAAGTAAAAAAAATGTATATAGATTAAAGAATAAATTATGAATTATTGAAATTAATAAATAGAGTAATGAACACTTATCATTTATTGTCTTGCAATTATTACACAATAATATAATATGTTGTACAATAACTGTAAATCTCGTATGTATAATCAATTGTCATATTGTGCGTAATTGTGCGTGATCCAAATAATTATTATTAAATTTCGGTTATTTCAACTTGTAAAATGTGATATATAATATAAACTGCGACATAGGACAAATTTTCTTTAATTAAGGTATACCGGTATAACACAATGTATTACACAATGTATGTTTTGCGATCAATAAGATAGCTGTTCTGCAGACGAAGCTATTTTATTACATTTATAAGTATAATTATTTGATTAACAAATATAATATTACAATATTACATTCAATCAATTACGTCAATTAGAAAACTATGAGATTCTTATAAGTAATCAGAATGAAATATCTCATACACTCATTAGACCTATCGAACAAGTTTCAAAGTTAACTCTAGATTGTACAATAACCAGAACAGGTGAGGCAGTTTTAAAGTTGATAGATCTTACGTGTATATTGATATTTAATACTTTGGTTTCTATCTTCCCTCTAATTCTTGACAAGTTCAACATTTACAGCGTAAACGAGATAAATAATAAAAAGGATTACATTTAATAAAAAGATGAAGAAAATAGCATGTTCATATAATTTTCTGAATTAAAAAACTAGAAAATTATATAAACACTTTAATTAATAATTTAAAAAATTGTTTGTTAAAAATTGTTTTATAATCAGGCAGTACATAAACATAATTTAAATTTTTATTACTGAATCCACTTTTGGCACTTTGTGAAGATCCAAATTCTAACAAAATCATATACAAAAGGAGTATTTCATACATAAATGACAAGTATATGATTTAAATGAAATTAAAAGTCAACTCTAATTTCTTAGCGGAATATATGCAAATTGTGTAACTATAACATTTTGCAATTCTAAACATTATAAAACAGTGCACTAATATTGTATTGTATACGCGTAGTATTGCACGCGGTATAATATTGTACGTCATTATTATTTTATAAGTTTATTATATATCACTAGTGCACACAGGTGAATCGCATCAAGTTTTATCTTTTTAAGATTTGGAAGACTGTAGCGTAATCGTGTATATTCAAACATACGTATAAATGTTCAAATACAGAGATAAATTGTATAGAAATTATAAAAAGTTTATTCGAAAATATCACAAATGTCTCCAAAAGATGGATATCTTATAATTTCGTATTGCTATAAAGTGTTAAAAACAGCCGTTGATTGTATCTAAAAAGAAATTATAAATAAAATTGTATGATTATGATCTTCTTTGCAGTGTTGTCGCTTTCGAAAGTGATAAATGATTATAAATCTATATTTACAAATGATGCGATGAGTTTTTTGATTTTATGCGCAGAACAGAAAATCCTTAGTTCTATGATATAAATAGGATGAGAATGATAAGTGTAGAGTTCCTAAGAAAATTTTTAGCAAGAACAATAAAAATAAAACAATAAAAAGACAAGAAAAATACAAAAGAATATGTAAAAATTCTATGCTGATTTTGATCTGTTTAAAATCTGTTAAAATCTTTGTCTCTTAAGTACACTAATTACTCATATAGGTCACATTTCAGTCGCATCAATTCTGAAAACGAAGGCAATTTTTATTATAACCAATCTATGTTGAAAGTAGCACAGATTTAATCTACATTAAATATGCAAAATCTGTGCATCGAGTCAAACTGAGTGTTTAATAATTTTCTAAAAAAAAAGTTAACCTATGCTGCACAGTAAAACCAAATAAGAAATCGTGATTTCGTAATTGTTTAGAGTTCTCAAATCTTAATAAGTTCTCAATTTTAATGTTTTTTTTTTTTAATTAAAGTTCATTCAATTTTGCACAAAGTTGTCAAAACCGATTTTTAATTGCTTTTTCAATGAATGTGAAATTGCGGTTAAAAAACAAAATATATTTACAATTTTAAATTAATTTGTACTAAATTGAATATACATATATTTTGTAATATATAATTATACATTTTTTATGTTTATATTATTTATTATATGTATCGTTACTTATATTGGAATCTCCAAGAGAATTTTTCTTAAATCATTTATATTGGAAATTGATATTTCTTATCTTAAAAAAATTATTGCTTAGTTTCCAGTTCTTTCCGAACACACACACACACACACACACACACACACACACACACACACACACACACACTACACACACACAC